TCCGTTTTTGCCGCCAAAAATATTCCCCCGTGCGACCACCAAACTGGCAATAATAATGATAAAAAACATCATCGTGTATACTATATTTTATTCGTATATAGGTTCCCTGCGCTATGCGAAAAAAACACACCGAAATTTATTCGACCGGACGGCGAACAAATTAAAAATATGTTTACCGAATATGAAAACGATTTTCCATATTAGTATTTAACCGGTATAGTAGCATATATAGGATGGTTCTTCTTTTACACATTTTTATAACAGAATTAAAACATTTTTTTCCGCTTATTCCTTATCAATTCCACATTATTATTGTTTTGGTTACATCCATCATATTGACATAATTTAATCGAATACATAATAATAATTTATAACGGTAGATAAGTCAGGGTGGGTATATTTATTCGTCATATTTGAACTCCTTTGGTATATTTTGTACAATATACATAAATTACACATATTATACCTGTATACAAATACATATTCGTAGGTGAGGTATATAAAAATATAAACTCGAAGTCTTGAAATGAATGTGAGTATTTTATAATCCATAAAATATTTTACTTACCTACCTATCGTGAATGCAAAAAAATAATTAGTCGAAGACATATTTTTTCCCCTATTATCAACATTTTTATATTACTTATTAATAATAAAAACTATATTATAAAATTTAGTTTTGTCATCTAATTGAATACACCACTATTCTGCTGTCATATTTATTTGTTTGGATTTGTTATTACCTACTCTTTTTCAAATGAAATAAAAACTACGCGTTTTCATCATCAAAATAAAGCCTCAGTGAATACCATACCACTTTTTGTATTATACTTTAAGTCACTAAAGGTTTTGTAGTCCTTACAGAATACATCATTTATGTGGACAAATAATTATTTTCAGCAGAAATATCTTTTTGAATTGTCGTATAAAAAAATGAAGATAATAAAATGTGCTTTGGAAATTAGAACCGAAAAAAAGATACTATTATAAAAAAACTTTACGCTTCTTTCTTCTTTGATAGAAAAAAATAAAATGAAATCGAATAGCTGTTAAATTATTTTTGAAAATTTCCCTTATACTCGTACTTCATGCGCTTACGGTGTTAATGATATAGCCATTGGAAAGGTACAAAAAGCCATCTCCAACCATCAATGTGATAGGAGTTTCCATTCAGGTGGAAAAAAAGCATGTCTAAACGAAAATGTTTAATTACATACTTCTTTTGTAGTGTTGCTGACTACAACTTACTGTTGATGAAAAAAAGGTAGGAAAATAAATGACTTTTTGAAATGGAAACACCAGAAATAGGTAACGAGGGCCATTAGTTGATTGCAAAAAAATTTAAGGCAGATATTGTAATTTGACATTGTTTGCATCACTTTTTATGTCATTACTTTAATATATTTTTAATTGTCATCAAAATAATTTTGACATGTCAATCAATGTAAGGAATATGGGATTTCGACTATTTTTCTTTCAAGTACTTTCCTAACTAAGTTCAAACATAGTATTATTTATATTTGTATAATATCGTCTGGGTGACTTCATCTCTTGTATTCTCGCTTTTACATGCTAACAAGTAACAACCATGTAGAATTATAGGCACTGTACTTTGACTGTCTTCCACTGCATACTATTATATTTACTTAAAATAAATAAAGCTGGTAAATAAGTAAATACATGGACTTTATTTTCTTCCAAATGAAAGAAAGATAATAATAATACGCAAGCTCACTATATTTGACTACCTATTGTACATTTGAATATAATTTGTACATAGATATTGTACACACCTATTTATGGCTATGTTATAATATAAATAATATAATTTACAACAAAAATCTGTACCTAAGGCTCACCAAACTGATGAATCGATTTGAAACTCCAAATATATCCGAGTTATTACTATAGAAAATCGGTCAAATTCGATAAAAATAAAATAATAAAAATGATTTTTGGACCTTTGTACAATTATGATGAAATAAAATAATAAAACGAATCTTCTCTCTTTAAAATCGCATTATGTGTCTACTCCACCACAAACAATAAATTTTGGGCCCAAGATTTTAAAATGAATGTCGAATCGGGTCTGATGTAAAAAAAGAGGTCGAGGCCTCTGAAAACAACATTATCAGAGTGAGGTGTATGATTACGACGTGACGTATTTAATATGCCTAAAACAAAAATACATAAAAGTGGAGCGTGAGATCCAGGTGAGCAGCGGTGATTTCCCGGCGCAGCACAGTGGTGGGCCCGCAGGGGGATGAGAGTGACATCCCCCCCTCTCCTTTGGCTTATTTTTTTCATATAAAATATATGATAAAGCAATGAATACAATATAAATATATATATATATATAATTTGGTCTCAGAATAGTCAAAAATTCATATATCCCCTTTCAAAAAAGCTGAGCACGCTACTGGCCACGTATGAGCTTTAATCGTGTGCGAATTTTCAACACGCAGCGGCGTGGTATGAAAATATTATACGATAACAAACAATATCTAGTCGAAACACATAGTATAATAATATAATATATTTCGCCTGTTGACGACATTTCGCCGTAAGCCAACTCGTATCGTTGTGTGTAGTGATTGACTATAATATTATTGTATCTGGGGGGCGGGGTGACCACGATGTCACACTGTCGCCAAAAACTCTTTTCCGGGGCTGTATACTATATACATATATAGATAGCGATATTACAAAACACGATATTATTATTTCTGACACCGCCAGAGCTCTTATCGATCAACAGAACATGAAACTATATGCGCCGCACGCAGAGTACGTGCATTATATACATATACACAGATATTTTATAAGTATATATATACTTGCATAACTTTTTTTTTTTTTGACACTCACCCCACACGTTTTACCACCGTGGCACGCCACTGATATAAATATATACGAAACGTTATCAATAACGAAGTTTCGCCGCTGAAACCGCCCATTATTGTGCAGTGTGTAACTCCGGTCTAGATGCGTATACCTACCTGTATAATATATTATTATTGTCGTTTCCCCGGAGAGCCTCAGCGCGTCTCGTCACAGTGGTGGTCGACGCGTGCGGAAAATTTACTGAATAATAAAAAATATATATGACGCCTGCGGCCTGCTCCATGTATATATTTTTATATTATCATACGCGGGGAAAGGCGAAGACGAGTAGGGTGTTTTCACCGAATTTCACCGTTAACGCATTTCGTTTCCGTATACACACATTTAAATAATAATATCATAATATTGTTTGTGTCTCGTCGTCGAATCTCGCATGGCGAATGTAAATTATTATATGTTTATATGCGATATGTGTGATGACGAACCCGTTGACGCGTGTTTTGACTTCTTTTTCAGCGATTGCGATATTCTGGTGTCTGTTTCACCGCTACGTCTTAATAATTCAGTCCACAAATCGTTAGGGTGCATTACACATTGATCCACAAACGACTAACGAATATCTATATAAAATATAACATTACTCAATATTTACAAATTACAATATTACGACGATATTCCTTAGTAAATTTATTTTTATTAAATTTATTCTATCGAGTAGTTCCTTGTTTGCTTGTTTTTTTTTCTTTATGGTACCTTGTTTCGCAACTCTCAGTAACAGTAAACGAATTCATAAAATGTAAATATTTGACTCAAATTATAATAATATCTTTGACACGAAAGTTTTCGTAATACCGCCTACTTTATCAATATAATACATTATTGTCAATTTAAATTTTGCAAATGTGTTAAAATATGTATATTTGACAACGCGGTTGTAAAAAAAATAATAAAAAGGTTGGAAAGGATAAAAAATATTTACTATATTGGTGTTCACGAGGACCTCATAATTTTAATTTTATATTTTAATGACTAAAAAAATATTTTCCCAATATAATAATGTAAATTGTTATTAATGTTCGCAGCAATAAATTACCGAAAAGCTATTAAATATAGATTTTATGTATCACGCAATACAAGAAGTTAATAATATGTTGTTGAAGAAAAATAACACAATACGATAGATATTCTATAGTCAGATTTAAAAAGGTTATAATGCATACAACGTATCAAAAAATACTCCCTCTTCCATAGTAAAATAATAGTATATAATCTCATAGGAGAGAAAATGTCTGAATAAAAAAAAAGTAATTATAATAATTACGATAATGGCGTAAAAGCTTTTGAGAACTCAACACTAAAATGTAAAGAAAAAATCAAAATTTGTTTTGTTTTTTGCTCTGTTGACTGTTATCATCAGAATTTTTTTTTAAAGTTCTTAAAACTAAAACCTATTTCCATGTGACATTACTTTTCATGTAATTATTATTTTTCAAGGATTTAAAAAATATGGACACTATAATACAATATACTATATACCTAATGTTATATTATATGACATCAATTTTAAACTCCTAAATCACTAATAATACAATACACTATCCATACTACCAATATACCAGCTATTATTAGTATTGACCCAAACACACCTATATAATTACGACGGGAAATAATAAATAATAAAATCAAACACGAATTAAATAATAATAACAACGTAAACATTTCGCGGAATTAGTACGATCGAAAAAATGTGAGCGGAAAAACCCTAGAGTCATCAAAATAATTATGCAGTCCAACAACCCCAATCGGACAAAGTGGCCACGACGCGCTACTCGTGATCCACGTCCGAAGGACACAACCCGACGTCGTCCCGTTCCATTTGTCTTCCTTTCTTCACATCCACTAGATTCACTCGCTTAATTCCCGTCATGTTTATTAAACTTTTGGTTGCCTTTAATACATCTGAATAAACTTTTGTTCATTTGTTGTTCTCTACTCTGCACTTGACCCAAAGACAATTTAATTAGGCGACGCTATCGCCGTGATTCGTCTCTTTGGGTATATGACGTTTATCAAAGTCTCTCACGTCTTTGGTTTTGTGCGCGGCCGGTTGGATTTAAATTTAAATTTTACTGACAGTTTTTTTTTTACTTCCACAGAATTTTGATTGCCGAAACCACTTCCGAGTCATCCAGTCGATCGGTGACGGCAGCCGGATATACATTTGCGGCACAAACGCACACAATCCAAAGGACTACGTGATCTACGTGAGTATACATACCAGCTGCTGTCTGTACTATAATTTATTACAGTTTTTCACACTCTAATTCGTTATTTCTATTTTTGTCATTTTTCACTCGCAGTCCAATCTGACACATCTTCCCAGACACGAGTACGTGCCCGGCGTAGGTCTGGGCACGGCCAAATGTCCGTACGACCCGCTGGACAACTCGACGGCCATCTGGTCGGAAAAGGGCAATCCGGGACAGTTGCCGGCTCTGTACAGTGGTACCAACGCCGAGTTTACCAAAGCGGACACAGTTATCTTCCGGACGGACCTGTACAACTTGACCTCGGGACGCAAGGAGTTTGCGTTCAAGAGGACGCTCAAATACGACTCCAACTGGCTCGACAGTGAGTGTTTTTATGATATTATATAATATCAACGCATTCCGGCTGCAATATTACTCGTGATAAATTACTTCATACTGTCAAATATTTCTAATATTATAATGTCACGAATATACAATGGTAACCGAATAATGTGTTCGCGGCCGAGACCTGCGCTGCCCAGCACGTTTATATAATATTATATTCGACTCTGACCGCGCCGCGTGGTATAATAATATTCGTACCGTCGTATAATATTGTATAACATTATAATAATAATATATCTACTGAGTTTACGTCGATCGCTTTTATACACCTACGCCCGTTATTATATATCGTGTTTATGCGCGTATAATATAGACATAATATATACGTCAATACGCGAGTTGGCCGACGCTATTACGGCGCGCGTTGGGGGCGGTTAGGTCTTTTTTTCTTATATATATTATGATATGTAAATGACTGCCACGCGTATATACTTACGGTGCCCTGCCGCCGTTGCGGTCGTGTACCGGCTTACGGTGGAGAGGAGGACGTACACTATTTCGAAACGCAAACACGTATACCGGCTAGGGATAAAACGCCCGCAGTGACTTTGCCGGGGATTCGGCAGGGCGCAGAAGTTTGAGTCGGCAATAGGTATAATATGATGGGACGAGAGAGGAACTCGTAAGACGGAGAAAAAGTCGAAAACGTCTCAAGAACCCCAACAACCGACCGACCACGTCTGGTATACTTATACGTATATGAGTAGTGTGTGTGTGTGTGTATGTGTGTGTGTGTGTGTGTGTGTCGTGTGTGTGAGTATTTGTGTGTGCTCGCGTGGTAATGCGGGCTCTCCCGGGTCTCCGCGGCCGTGTGTATAATCCGTCGCCGCGGATAACTGACAAGACGTGACAGCGCGCGGCGGGTGATAAATTGCTATCAGCGGCGGCTGACGACGACCACGACGACGAACGTCGCTTTTTACCCGTTTAGGGGTTGAGGGGGGACGGATAAGCGTGCGTGCCCGTCTCTCTCCGGGCACCGGTTGATTCTCCGGACCATAACAACGTCCGGCAGAATGTATAAAATATTTTAAACAGACTCCCCCCTGCAGCGAGGCGGTGTCCCTCGAGTAGTCAGGAGGAAATTGAAAAATGGTACTGTATAATTTCGAGCTAAAGACGTACAGAAAAAAAATACGGTTTTTGTTTGCTGGTTTTTTTCTCGATTTCCAATTGTCTCGCCCACGATTCACAAGCGGGAGGCGATTACAAGGGAGATCACGCTCGGTTTCCGAAACGATTCACCACATCTCACAGTTGGACGGACGACGAATATAAACTCGCGCCATATAGTTTTTATTGCACTGAAATGGTCGATTTAATCAATAACATTGTTTTATGTCCAAAAAACGACGTTAATAATATTTAAGTATTCTCAAATAATATTTTACGACCTGCAGTGGCAATAAAATAAATATTCTATATTATTATGCATTTAAAAAATCGTAATGGAATAAGTAGACACTGATCAAGTATATAAATAAATATATTATCTTGTAGAAATTAAAATTGATTTAAAAGTTATGAAATATTTATAAATATATATTTATTTGTTGGATAACTTTGAAATATAACTTGAACATTATTCGCCTTTAAAATGTTACCTTATGTATATAATATTATGGGGTTTTTATGTATAGTTATCTAGGTACCTTTTATTTTATTATATATACCACCACTGCGAAACAAAATATGGAGTTCATAAAAGTTTGAAAAAGGCACTATTGCTTAAAATCAAAGCAAAACCCATTGACCCAAATATTTTTTTTATTTTTTTGAATTTCCCAAAGTGAAATTGTTTTGCACTAACAACAGTCGTCTAACGGGTTATTTCATTCCCCCTCTTTCAGGGTTTTTAATTGGAGTTAAAAACCCAGTAAATTAGGGACACGTTTTTCGAATTATCCCATAAACGTGATAATGAAAGTCTTAATACCCTCCGGGCCAAAAGAGGATTTTCAAAACATAACAGTTATGGTTATCGTCCTATAATAATGATGACTGAACGGAAGTTTTAGGTGTACATCAACTTATTAAAAATGTATCAGACTTAAATTAAATGCTTATTGCTATCAGTTTACCTTGGCCAATACTTAATTCAAAAACCTCTTGGTAGATTATGAGTAGGTACTTATGACTTGTAAGTGCTCGAAGAGAAGAGGGAAAATCGAGGTGAGACGACGATTAAAGTTAATCTTCACATGAAAGCGGTTTCAACAAAGATAAAATTCGACTAAAAAATCAATCGAGACACGCAGTACCTCGGTCTTTTATTCGTGTAACAATATAATACTAAATAATCAATATACCTACAAATTATTAAACTAATTTTAAACTAAATTGTTTACTCTAGGTATGTACTGTAAAAATACAAATGAAATAAAACAGAATTATAGTGAAACGCGAAGTAAACACGCCAGTCGAAAAACATTTTAATAAAATAAAGTTGGCTATTATAATGTCGGTACGACTAATTCTGGGGTTTATCGATTCGTCTGTTTGGACAAATGGGAAACGAGTCCGTATTTAAAGGGCTAAACTTTAATCATGACTGAGAAGATTATCAATTTCCAAAGGGGTTCACAAGAATAATGATGAAAACTGTCAAAGAATGTTTACGACCGCTAAACATATTATATTTCAAAACATTCATTTGATAATGTTGGTTATTTAAAAACGTTTGACATACGCACAACACAAAGTTTCAATTTTAATTAATTCGACACATCGGTCGGGAAATAAAAAAAAACCAAAATAATATGTGCAAAGTCCAAAACCACAAAGTTTTCGCTTGAATGAGTTATTTCGTCGAAACGGAAAACAAACTATTTCAATTCAAAGATTATCATGGAAAACTGTTTTATTTATTGTTCCGTACCACTGACGAGTCTTCAATTCAAGAGGGGGGAAAAGTTACTATTACCAACTCGAGTATTTTTTCAGACCAAATGGACATATTTTGGCTTTCGGTATTCGTAAAACTTTTTAAACGAAAAGTCAAATTCCGACACAATCGATTACGCGCACAACCGTATATATTATTACGTACGTACGTCTACATGTGCCGCGCATACGTGTGTGGACCATAAAATCGACTTCAGTTTTTGTATCGTAAACAACGCGCACAGTTTTATTATTTCAATCCACTCGGAATCTTCTTCCCCGTATTCTCGTGCGTGTAATATGTTATATAGGTATGTGGGTTTAATTCCACCACCCCGTTGTTGCAGGGGTTCTCCTCGTGCTCAACACCCTCGTCCGCCGCATCCTTACGAAATTGTATTCGTTAATAACGCGCGAGCCGCGTTTCCGCGAACAAAGCGTTTATTACGTTATTTTCCGCTATTTATATATGTTACATGCGTTCGCGCGACGACATACGACATGTACCTACACCTTTATACCTACCTATACTACTTATACTATATAGATACCTACAAAAAATAATCACAAAAACGCAATCACTGTAAACGCCTGCACCGTCGCGAGTGTGTGCGTGTGCGGCGCTCGCATTTAAATATATTATAATTATTAATCAGTCGCATTTCAAGCTGTGCAGTAGCACGCTGTACGTTTAAATCCGTTTATACTCGCCCGCACGAGCGCGATAATCGTTTCGCCTTTAAAACCCAGCGCAAAACGCATAATAATATAATATGATAACGATCCAGTCGCCGCCGCCGGTTTCAAAGGACTTTCGATCGCTCTAAACGCCTCCCCGGCTTAGGGTACACCGGACTCGGTCGGCGCTGATGATTAAAACGGTATATCATCCGCCGCGCGGAAACGTGTACTCGCCTGGAGCGTTCTCCGATAATATACGTATGTGTAAAATAGTGTGTTGTGTGTGTGCCGCGGATAAAAATAATATATATATACAAATATTCAGACCAAAAGTATATACGTACGAGCGCAGTATATTTATTCTCCCCTCGTATGAGTGTGTCATACGCGAGCGGTAGACGACGCACGACGACTACGACTACGACTACGAATAATCATATTCGCCACCGCCGCCGGTGCCGCTGGTATAACTTTTGACGGACTCCACCGCCGACCGACCGCCCTCCATAAACATATATATATATATATATATTAGGTATGCGTATTATATCCTCCGTCGACTTAGTGCTGTATAATGTGATCCCATAACATAGCAGTCGGTCCTCCACTCTTATTCGGTGATTCATATTTTTTGACTTCCCGAAAGATAACGAACGCTCGCACCCTTTTACGAAAAAAAAAAAAAAAAAACTGTCACACGCTCGGCGGAGCGTAAACGAATTGACTGTATCAAAGGCCACTAGCTGCGTATGTACGCCACCGCCCCGCACAGCTGTCGCCCCGAAAATCGTCACTGTCTGCTTGCGTATATTATTATTATATATACGAGTATATGTGCACTGCACCTAAACAGACGTACGAGCTCTCTCTCCCGCGGGGTTTAACCCCTCGAAATGCCCGAGCGTTCTACTAATAACAACGACGACGACGAGTATAATTAAGTCGCGAAATAAGTTTGTACGCGTCTCGTGATGGATGCGTACACGCCGTGTGTAAATATAATATATACGAGTGTACGCGTATGTATAATATTGTGTGTGTGCACCGTACGACGCGGTGTGTCACACAAACTTTTAATAACCAAAAGTAAACGGATACGCGCGCACATACGACCTACGACCTATATTATCGATTTTACACTCGACTCGCGTGGATTTAAGTCATACTTCCCAGGTACATCGATATTGTGATTTTTATGAGAATATTATTCGGCACCACTTTTGCAGCGGACCATGATATTCAAATGTCTTATCCACTCGATCTCTCTCGTGCCTATAATATTCGAGCAGATTTTTAATAATATTGTATTATTAGCGTGCACAAAATATCACGAATTGCTAACAGCATATCGACTACAGCAGCAAATATAAACAATTTTTTTCCATTTCACAGAACCAGACTTTGTGGGCTCTTACGATATCGGCCAATACGTATTCTTCTTCTTCCGCGAGACCGCCGTCGAGTACATCAACTGCGGCAAGAGCATATTTTCCCGCGTTGCCAGGGTGTGCAAGAAGGACACGGGTGGCAAGAGCATACTTAGCCACAACTGGGCCACGTACCTGAAGGCCCGGCTTAACTGTTCCATACCCGGAGAATACCCGTTCTACTTCAACGAAATCCGTAAGTAGTATATTATACTTACTTCAGTAAGACTGAAATCGAAACTAACACTTTGTGTTGTGTACAGAGAGCATTTACAAGGTGCCGGACGACGATACACTTTTCTACGGCGTGTTCACCACGTCCACTACCGGTTTGATGGGCTCTGCCATATGTACTTTCCGGCTAGAGGACATAGATCACGCGTTCGCGGGCCGATTCAAGGAACAAGCCAGTTCCACGTCAGCCTGGCTCCCAGTACTGTCTACCAAGGTACCGGAGCCCAGACCCGGACAGTGTGTCAATGACACGGAGACTTTGCCAGGTAAATTATATGAAAACCGATCAGTTTAAAATGACTTGATCGGATGTGAATTCGATTTTACTTTTCGAAAAAATCAAAAAACCACATTGACTTAAAAATAAATAAATAAAATAAAGTTGTGGACGCTTTGTATGCGCTACAATGGTGATGTGTATTACAGTGGTATAATAATACATATCACAACTTGCCCTATACAAAATACATGTAGTAAACGTGACTATTCGCTAACACATATTTTGTACGCTTTGGTCGAGTCATATATAAATATTTCGCTCACTTAATATTATTATCGTTGTCGTGTTTAGATTCCGTATTGAATTTCATCCGCAGTCACCCTCTCATGGACGAGGCGGTGGCGCACAAAGACAACGAACCGGTGTTCTACATGCGTGACTTGTTCTTCACGCGTCTCGTAGTAGACGTTCTCGATTACGTCGTGTTCGGAAACCATCTACACTACACCGTCTATTACGCCGCTACCAGTAAGTTTAAATTACCTATCGTAATATTATTCAAATATTATGTATAAAATACGAGACACCTAATCCCGATGTGTTTTTTTTTTTTAATGTAAAATGTAAATAATTTTATCATAATGTATTTTTGTCTCAAGAGTTCCAATGTTAATGCTTACAGTACGTCGTTATTATTCATTTTTTAATTAACTCGTTCCGTTTAATTTACGTTTTTCACAGACGAAGGCCGCGTTTACAAAGTGGTGCAGTGGTACAACGACGAAGGTGTACCTGGATCTGCTCTTCTGGACATATTCGACATCATGCCCGGTCTGCCAATCACGGCGATGGAAATATCCAGAAAGGTTTGTTTTATCATTATCGCAGATATTTAAGTGACCTTCGTTATCTCGCACCCTCCTCCCCCACTTGGCATTGAATTATACGTTCATGTACAATACATGAGTACATTTTAATGGGGAGTATTTCTACCCCTCGGGGCGTTGGCGCGTAATACTTGATTGTGATTTTACTATATCCAATGCCCATATGGCGTTTGACACCGGAAACTATGTATACTATATATAATATAGTGTGTATAGTATACCTAGCTAGCCGTGGAGGGTGCGTTCTCGTCTATACGAAACGATATTTATAAGTGCATTCCGGATAACGAACGGTAGTTTAAATGTTGCATAAACAAGGTAAGCGTAGATAGATGTAATCAGAGACCATTAAAAGCCCGCCGAAATAGGCAATACCGCAAACACCGTCGACGGTTCATCAGCGACGAGCGACCGCGTAATTTAAATTTCAACCGTTCAGAGTGTATGACCTGACACATTTTAGAAAACACGAAAACGATGTAATTTCACGAAATACGTCCGCGCTTAAAAACCGTTTTACAGTTCATCAGAAACCGCCTCACAGCTAATAAGGAACCCTCACCGCCGCGTTTCTACTCTCGTTTTTAATGATGGTATCTGAACGATTAGTAATCCCCCGTTAACGAGCCTGCAAACAACAGTGGCAACGTGACTCATCGAGTGGCGGGCGTGAGGGAAAAATACTCACAGTGACTATTATATTCTCCCGGTAGTGTTCGACTATATATAGGTATCCCCTTAGTAAATTAACCTGTAAATGGCGTATATCTGCTTTATATAATAATATATACTATATACTATTATATTGTTAACCTGCAGTCGGTCGTGATTTGTTGTACGGCCGCGTCCGTGGTATGGGGTAGTAGCAGGGATGGCCGTCGAGGGAGAAGAAGAATGTATATTTCCTCGCCCTAACCGACTTCTGCAGGTCTCCTCGTTTTCCACGTCACCACGTTTCCGTCAACACTTTCGGTCCGACTGCGACCTTAAAATGATTGTTATTATTATGCATTCCGGCACTGTTGGCTGCAATGGCGGTGCCTCGGGCACACGGACTACGAAATCGAATTCCATCCCGTCTCAATAAATAGATTTATACATAATACACACACATTTATATATATATATAGTTATTTAAACACGGTAAATAGCTTTTGTGGTACACGTATGATTAATGCGAACGTTCCGGTACTCCCCGGACGCGGTGCGATTGATTAGAGAAGCGCTGTAGTATCGCCGCCGCTGCCGAGTTTTGGCACGCGTGAATGTATTCAAATCTCATAAAGCCCAATCAGCAGCAGCCACTAGCTACGACGATACCCAGCCGTATATTTGTTTAGGACTTGCCAAACGTTATTCGCACTCGACTGCGCCCGCGATAACATCGCGTCATTACAACACGTGTATACCGCGGTATACATAACCCACTCGTATTCCGTTAACCGCAGTGGCTCGTCAGGGGTGAATTTGAGACTGCAGCGCATCCTCGTACTATAGTTAAACAGGATGACAGAATAATAATAACAATCTATGAGAACATTTATTTACGAGTTTAAATAGTTTTTACGGAAAATCACTCAGCTATGTATACCTATCATACACCAGGTATATTATACCTGTACATAATAGTTGTGGGTGTCTCGAGTGTCACTCATCATTGAGTTAGCGCCCTAATGGATTCGTTGAACTTAAATGTAATGATAAACCATTGTATACGTTTAAAAACGATTCTGTGTGGAAGCGGTCTATACGATTATAATTTATTTACATTGTAGTTTAGTAGTTTAATTATACACTATACCATAATAGCCAATACGTTGAACTAATTCTTGCCGAAAACGAATCACATAATTTTATGTCATTACATAGCTTGATTTAATATTAATAGCTGTTACTTAGTAGGTAGTTCATTTATACAGAATAACCTATTACATACGTAGCGGAGGACGGTGTGAATAGGTTTATAGTACTTATAAATAGCTTAAAAGTTAAAATTTAACACTGAATATTTTCAAAATTGTATTGTGTGATTATTGACACAATAATAACAAATGATGAAAAGATTCAGGTTTCCTAAAAATTACATTTCTTGAATTACAACAAAATAACTAAAAACGTTTTCTTTCGTTTAATTACCCAATTTCGTAAAAAATTTAACCATAAAATGTATATAAAATAATTGTAACTATGTACCTATCTGGCTATGTGTATCTATAATAAAACTTTATCATGAGGACATTTTTACGTAAGTTGTTAAGACTTAACTATTAAAATTTGAAATGTTATGAATTATTTATTAGATCTTCAGATCTTGTAAAAAAAACTGAACCAATGTATTTTTGATATTTTAAAATTGCTAAGAAACTTTGTATTACATTTTCAAGCTTTTTGAACGAGCAAAACATTTTTGGTTGATATTTATAGAAAAAACAATGAAAATGATTCCATGTCCTAGAATAGGCTTATATATAAGTATATTTAATTTATTTCATAACAACAAATGATTTTGTGTCAATTTGTTTTTTTAATTGAACAGCGATTACTGTTTTATTTCTATTTCATATTTAGCAAGTCTTTCATTATTACCTATTTAATTATTTATTATTGTTTCATTATTTGTTCAAACTAAATTAATTGAGTAACATAATATTGTTTATAGTTTAGATAGCCTCCCCCGATTGTTTACTCACTGGTATACGATAATGATATAGTATAAGTTTCACCTTGCCGATATAGATTGTGTGTACACGACTCAAGTTTCTAATATTACTTAAATAATATATTTTATTTTGTTTTTCCAGCACAAAGCCCTGTACGTTGCTTCCGACGAGAGCGTCCGACAGATATACTTGTCAATGTGCACTCACCGGTACGACAGCTGCTTGCGGTGCGTCCACGACCCGTATTGCGGATGGGACAAACAGTCCAAGACCTGCAAACCCTACCAGCCAGGGTAAGTCAATACGTGGTAATACGATGATGATCAATACGACGATAACTGAACGACCGTTCGTTGTGTTTTTTTACAGGCTCCTGCAGGACGTGACCAACTCGTCGCGAAGCGTGTGCGAAAGCTCGGTGGTCAACAAGAGGCTGACCGTGACGTTCGGCCAGAGCGTGCACCTCAGCTGTTTCGTGAAAATGCCGCAAGTGCTAAAGGTATACCCGGTCACCTGGTACCACCACAGCAAGGAAAAGGGACGGTACATGGTCTCGTTCAGGTAAACTCAATAACAATAATATATTATTATGTGATGCGGGGCGGTCTCCACTACCGTATATTCATAATAATGATGATGATAGTAGTAGTAGTAGTAGGTAGGTACATCGTTTATTATTCAAACGACTGCAGCTGGGGGCGACGACGAAATTCTGCGAAGAAATTAAATCAGAAATTCGAAGCTCTCCGGGTAAAGGAGAATATTTTCCCAAGGAATCGCTGACGACTGCAATACACGGTATATGATATACCGAAATATACGCGGTCCCGGTACTCGAAGAAATTGAATTTACATTTATTATGTACCGGGTGGTGTACCGAGCTCTCGGCAATTGTTTCGCGTTCTGCTCGCGCAGCGAATATACGGGTAGGTGGGTATAACGATCGCGCTCCAATTACGCAGTGCGCTGCACCTATATATACCGCATATCGTTCCTCCATACCGCGGCTGCCACCACCGTCATCGTCGTCGTCGTCGTCGTCGTCGTCGTCGTCGTCGTCGTCGTCGTCGTCGTCGTTGTCGTCCACATTTATAATTCTTAATTTTCCACCCCGGCTCACGTACACGTCGAATTATACTACCCTTGTTACTAACGCGCGATCCGATAACCGAGTTGTCCCTCGCAACGCGACCGTCGTCTTACGTCCCGCCGTCGGTCATGTTGTTATTATTATACCATTAGTGGATTCGACGACCGGAATACCTACGTAGTTTTACCAGTGGCGAACGCGAGTCATCGAATAATAATATAATTTACGATAAATTCGGATCGAGTTGCGCTCGACCCGACGACATTGAGCAAAAGACTCTATTTTTATTATTATTATTTTTTTTTTCTTTTATCGGAATTCAATTGTACCGCAGTTCTCATGTAAGACTTGTTTTTAATTTTTTTACAGCCGAGTGGAAAAATATATTGCGACCGTCGAAGGTGGCATGGTGATCGTCGGAGCATCGGAAGAGGACGGCGGCCGATACGACTGTCAGCTGGCCGGCGCCCTGTTGTGCACGTTCAACTTGACGGTGGACGCGCATCGGTGTTCGCCACCGGCCCGGTCGTCTGACTACCATCGGGTGTACTCGGACTGGTGCCACGAGTTCCAGAAGTATAAGAGCGCGATGAAATCTTGGGAGAAAAAACAAGCTGTGAGTATAATAACGTAAATTATGAAATACATGTGTAGGGATGTACTCGTGGAAGGCGACTATAAAAAACAAAAACAAACTTAAATCGTAAGATCTCGAAGGTAGCTGAGAAATTTATCGATAGACAGACCTTTTACTTTCCGTTACCAAATAAATATAAATAAAGTGTAGATAACGTTTAACGGGACGGGACCGAACGGTGCGAAAGGTATAAGATTTTTGGGGAAGGGAGTCTTATTTTCGACAATCGCTATCCCGACGTATTATTGTAGCACGTCGGCGCCTTTTACCGTGCAAACGAATTCTTTTTTTCTTCCGTGTTTATCGAACGCCGTAATCTAATTATTCTCGACTCGTGTTTAGAGGGAATTGTTTAAATTATTCTGCTCGTCGTTTAATAACGTTTAAAGTTATAGCCGCTGTATAAACGATGTTTTTATTATACGAGACAGTAAATCAAATTTCAAAATGGTGGGAGAGGAAGAAGAGGGTTGATTTCGAGAACGAGCCAAAAAGATACCGCGTGCGCGACGACTGACGCCAAGAAACCGTTGTATCGGAATCCGCGGAAAACTTTTCGCCTCGCCGATTAGCGTTTCGGACATACTTATTTTGGGATAACAACTCGTCGAGTAATTGAAAAAGTTCTCGGGGAATTAAGACGCGTACGATATTTTAATGCAGTTCGGAGATGACGTCATCGTTAATTATTCGGTAAACTACCACGTTGACTTATATAATATAATATATATTATATAAACGTTTAATAGTATCGACTTTTCTCGTATCACGCGAGGACATCTGTCGTGCAGTGTCTCATATTAAAATGATACTTTATTATTATACACTGTGCCCGATTTAATTGCTCGATTAATTGCTCGATTAATCGATATCGCGATATACGAACACGTCATATAATATTTTATAGGCTCGTGTACACGATAATTCAAATACATGCTCGCAAACATATTCGTACACACGAATGAGGATTCATAAATGTGCTTTTTTTTTTATCGATCTCAAAACATAAGAACCCCACGTGTCTGGTCATTAGTTTTAGTTAGACACTATTTATAGGACTAATTCTGCAGTGTGTATATTATATTGATTATGATTTACTCGTGCCCTGCTGAACGTATACAATATACTCGTATTTAGGTAGTCATGTTCAGTCACATTTTACCCATATATTTTATACCTATAATATTCGATAGTACGATGTAACGTTATTATACCGTGTGTTTTTTTTTTATGCATATCACAGCAATGCAGTAGCTCAAGACAAAACGAGACCGCGATTGCCCAGGGTCTCCTGTCAAACGAATTAAACGCAAGCCCGGCCCTATAAGGAGGATACTATACACGAGAATATACGAGGTGCAAGCAACCGTCGCCACTACCACCACAGCCACCACAAACACCATCCCCATCCCATGTTCACGCTATAATATATATATATATATATATATGTATATTGTATTATAATATGCGTTAATGTTATGATAATATACCGTCATCGTCGTGTCAGTCGTTCCACCGCCGCGGAAAAATAAGTAAAAAAATGTAATAACAATATATAATATATATTGAATGAGGTAAAAGCGCCATCATAAATAGTCGTCGTCGTCGTCGTCGTCGTCATAGTCGTTAAGTATAATATAGTATAAGAGGATTTTTTTTTTTAATTTTAATGCAGATTCACGTATATAATATATAATATACACCTGTAGGTATATAGGTGTTTGTACCTAAAATACGTAATACATGGAATGTATGTACTCGTGTATACGTATATATATTGTATATAATGATATGTATAATGTATATTGTGTACTTTGTATATTAATAATTAGAATTTAATGTACAGACTGCCTATATAAGCTTTAAACTATAACCGCGACGAGCGACGGCCGATATTATACTATACCTTTTTTTTTAACGATATATACATATTTTATCTACAATCTTCTGTGATAATGTAGCTGTTAGGTTTTTTTTTAATAAATATATGGAAATAATATGTTATTATACTACCCAATTAGGCATAATATTTTATAATATGATAGAGTGAGCTTCATATTATTTTTTCCGTTTTATTTTTTTACAATTTTTTTTCAATTTTTTTGCGTGGCTCTTTATTATTATACATATAACAGTAAAGTTATGGTGCTTCGTTATAGCAATACACGGTCGTGACGTTATAAACATAACACTATTTTCATTATAGTGTGTAGGACCTATATCATGATTACATTTTTGTATTATTTTGTATTATTTTATTACTATTATTATTATTATTATTATTATTATTATTATTATGATTATTATTACGACTATTATTATTATTATGTATTTATTTTGACAATAAGACTCGGTTATCACTAAGTATATTATTATTACCTCCCCCCACACTCTTAGCGTAATACAATCAACTTTGTATTTTTTAGTTATATTAGTTTGTTAAAATTATCTCTGTTCGCTTAATTAAATAATGTACTTAAATTATATTTATTTGTATAAATTATTATTGTTTCCGATGCGATTAGAGCCTTAAGCGAGCTCAATATATTTTTTAAAATAAGGTTTAAAAAAAAAATTACAGTTAGCACAGTACATAATTCCAACAAAAATTGTATACCTACACTGCGTAGCGTCTAGACCTAGCCAACAGTAACGCTTAGGCACTATCCCGGCGCTAAATTTATTAAATAATTATATGAAAACAAAAAACAAAAAAAAAATACAAAAAAAATCACAAATAATTTTTAAAAAATAATTCATTTTAACTCGCTCCTTCCCATTTTTTCAATTAGCAATATTGAATAATATTTCATCATGTACAGAATTTTTGACTTGCATGATTTTTATCTATTTTAGTTTCATCGTAGGTACCACTACGTATTTTCTTCGAAATTCCATCCATTAAAAAAAAAGTATCTAACCGTAATACGCATAAAAGTACGTACATATTATATATACTTTTTACGAGTTATTACTTATAAGTATACATAATATATATGTATGTATACGATATTATATTAATTTCACGTTCATTTTTTAGAAGCTACGGATTTTTCTATACTGTAAATACAATTTGTTTAAATATACTTGTTAAAATATTTTATAACTTTAAGACAAGTCATTGTTGTACATTTATTTTATTTTTTTTTTTAGTTATATAAGATTATTGTATTTAACAGTAATATTATTTTAAATAACGTGTACGTAAGACTAAATAGAATTTTTTTTTTTGTAACCAAAAAAAATATGTTTAGTAAGAAGACAACAATAATATTTTTTTTCAAAAAAAAAAAGCTGTGTCAGTTATTTATTTTCCCCGGATCCGTCTTCCACGAAAAACATTTTTTGAACTATTTATGAAGTTCAAGTGAAAATTAGTTCCCGCGTTCCTAAATACCTAAACTGATATTATATAGGTACATTATCCTTACCATTATTATTCATTATCATTTATTACATTGTTGGTCATTTTAACGACCCATTACAATGATGATGTATCACACAATACTACGATATAAACCAATCAAAAATATCTTTCGCTCGTCACCTAAATCGCTTTTGTTTCTTTTTCTATTATTCTTGCCTTTTCACCGTCTCGAACAGTAAGATACCAGGACGTAGGTATTAGACTTGGTACACCACAGCATCGCGGTGGAACTGTCATCCGCCTGAGTGCATTGCTGGCCTGAAGAAACCAACGTCATGAACAATTCCACCTGCATGATGGAGTAGACAACACCAACAGTTGCCATGGTGTGGGCTGGAGAGAAGTGTCAGCCCGCGAATATATTATGAGGGCTTTAAAACCCATGAGATACCTAATGTATGTGTTCTGTGTGTCTGACCGTTGTCCACTTTAAACATGATTTTCCTTTCGCTTCTTTATTAAAAATGTATTATTATTAATGAACTCGTAATTCAAACTCTGTGACTATAATATGAGCACAGTCTGAGCCACCTCACCAGATTTTTCTTCATTATTATAAGTCACGATATACCTATAATGATTATTTTATTTATTACACGCGTAGGTTATGTGTAATATTGATGGTTACTATAAATTTTTTAGTATGCCAAAATGTTTCTACCTACTATAGCAGTACATATACGATACAATTATTATTATTGTATTCAATATACAATTGTTTTATATTTGTGGAGTTTTTACGTGAGTAATTAAATTTAAGACAGTTTTTTTTATTGTTATTGATCTCATTCCTCTTCACTTAAAAACACAAAATCCATATATTCATGACCAAATAGATATCTATTATTGGATGTGTTTTGAGACTGCTACTATATTTGGGTGCCATTTAACATTAATTGGCTTAAACCAACGTAACAGGGAGTTAAGGTTTACCAAAAAATAGTAAAATTCTATGATTTAAACTTTCACCTTCCAGTATAAATTTAATATTAAAATATGTATTAATGATGTGGAATTAATGAAATACGGATCTATCTAAAACTGTAAGATTGGTATAGTTGGGTGTTCTTCATGTTTTTTTAAATTCTTATTACCTATAGGCTATAGTCTATACAAATGTAGAACCTACTTATTATTAATTAAAATAAAATAAACGCCAAATAGTATTTTAAGTTTTTCAATTCGAAATTTAAAGTTTTCGTAAATAAAAAGAAAAAATCAATATAGGTCTTAACGAGTTTGGGCTATACCTACACAAGTAGGTGTTCTATTGTGTTCCCATATATTAATTTAAATATTTGAAAAGTGAACATTATTTAATACCATACCGGTTTTTATTAAATGGATCGATTTTTGGTTTGTATATAATAACCTTGTTTTATGTTAAATTTTATATTTTAATAAAAAAATTATTTAAAAACTAAACTTTTTATCACAATAAACCATACATAAAATACAAATTTCCATGAATAATAAATATTATAGAGTACCTGGTACCGCGGTAACCGAATTTCAGAGTTTTTATTGAAAATCTATTTGTGCTTCAATTTAAATTATTTTATTCACAACATACGAACTTGAATAAGATCATCATTAAATAGCATGTTGATATGGTAACGTTTATTATTGTCAGATAATTTTTCAATTTTAGTCAAATACTAATTTTTAATTATCTTTCAAGCGTAACGTTGTCATTATTACCTTTTTACATATTATGTATCCTTCCATAATATTGTATATTTGTATTATTGTGTAGGTACCTGATAAAAAAAATTATAACCCTAAAATCTTAATTCTCGATTTTTACGCTAATTCAGTTTTAAATTCAAATTATATTTGTATTAATAACTGCAGATCAGGCAGTATGTGCGTTAACGTAAACCAAGTATATGTTTGTGATAGTATGGCGTAATTCTTTTCTATTTATTTCCTTGCCGGCAGGTATTAAGTATTAACGTACCTAGAGTTACTTACATTTACATATATACTTATAGGTATATACTATATAGAGGTGTAAACACAAATCATTTACAATGGTGATAGTGTCAAATGAGTGTATGTAAAATTATAATATGTTATGCAACTGCAAAGTATCGCAGTAGGTTAATTAATTATTTCTTTTTTTTGTATGTTAACAAAAAATCAATCTCTTCCATCATAGTCGGTCGTGACATCTATATACAATACAAGGCGGAAAAAATCGAGTTTATAATAATATAATGAAATATTATTATTATTTACCACAGCCGACGCGCGACGACGAAGTGCATTATTATAATACACATAATAGGTACAGCTGCTGTCGACTGTGAGTAGTGATGATCAAAAACACTTAACGATTAACCAACAGTTTAAGCTTTTAAACATTAAATATTATATATAACTTATAAATAAAACGTATTAAATGAAATAATTTACATCACAATTAATATATAATATTGTAATATGTTAACATATGCTTATTATGTCAATCTATTGATTATTTATTTTATAAATTTTAATTCTAAAAAAAAACTCTATGAAATTAATTCAAAATTGATAAACTTCAACAAACATATTATTATAATCCATTGAATTTTTCAATACTAAAAGATTAAACATAATATATTGATATTAAGGATAATTCAGTATTCAGTAACATACTCAGTAATAAAAAATGCAATCGTTATCCACGATTAATTTTATTTTGTTTAAATTTGTATAAATTACATAAAATATATATATATTTCAAATTGTTACTATATAGTATATATATTATATTGATTCGTATAGGAAAAAAGCAATTAATATAAATATTTTATTTAAGTGTGAAAACTTTAAATCATAAATAAAATCCTTACCTATGATTATAGATAATAATAAAATTGTGATAATTATTTTCGGCAATACGTCGACAGTCGTGGTAACTGAAAATTCTCGATAATCCCATAGTATTTTTATTTTTCTATCAAAAATTACCAAGATTGTCGTCAACAGTGTCATATCACATTAAAAATATATTGCCTGCACGGAAAGCAAATAATAATAATCAACGATCAAGATACCGTGGTTACACTTGACATATTATTATTGTAGGTTATAAGCATGAGCTTGTAATGGTGATGTCGAGTTGAAGTACGGCTGTAATATCAGACGACAACGAGTACTTTATTATACTGTCGGCGTGTGCAGTCGTGCAGGTAGCCACCTCGGAAACAATCGTTTCATGCCTGCTGCATGTGCAATAATGATAGGCTGCAGGTACCTAATAATAATTTATAATATAATAACGTGGTAATCGATTTATCGTCTTCCGCCAGTCGAGAAAGTTTTTGCATTCTCCCGTCGTCGTTTATTCGGAAATTTTCGTTTTCTCCACCCTCAACGCCCCCCCAACGATTTTAACACGGTCTCCGAAGGTACCTGCGGGAGGTTATGCAGAGTAGCCTTTGATGTTGAACACTGCTCGTACGACGTCACGTACGCACGAGTCTACACACAAGTCTACTCTGCACAGTGTGTGTGTG